GTTGTCGAGCTCCTCTCGGCACTCGGAGACAGCGCGACTGTTTCTCTGAGAGTTCCCAGCGGACACCACGTGGAGGTGGGAGCTCGTCGTCCGCCTAAAGTGACAGTTGCTGTGTTGAACCCAATTTCAACCTCCAGTCTCTTAGATTCCCGCTTTACTGTACAATCACGTGCCAAATGCCAGGTTGGCAAGGGAGTGCCAAGACTCTAATCCCGAATAAGCAGAACATCATTGGATTTCGCAACGAACAAAACGCACCTCCACTACGATAGCATCATCGATGGCGGGTAGTCCTATCATCAATCAAATGGAATTTCTGGATCTACCGAACGAGATCATTGGAGAGATCATCGAATATCTGAAACAAAAAGACTTATCTTCACTTATTCGAGTTAACCAACGGCTTCATTTCCTTTTTTCCGAGTATCTGCTCCAGTACAATGTACGACATCAACAGGGTCGGGCTCTTACGTGGGCGGTGACGAAAGGGTTTGCATCACTTACTCGTAAATTGGTTGAGCTTGGGGCAGACGTCAATCGCCAGATCGATGTTCGAGGACGTAAATTTGCTCGGCCGACGCTACTTCATATTGCTGCCGCGAAGAGGAATCTTCCCATGATTAAGTTGCTCTTCGAAATTGGAGCCGACCTCAATCAAAGAGACGATAAAGGGCGAGCACCACACTACTGGGCTTTGCTTTCAAGAAACGAAAAGATAATACAAGAGTTCTCTTGGAGGACGAAAAACTTGGCGAAATTCGTCGTCGATGGCTCACAAAGCCGCACTTCTCTACATTTCGCTGCTTGTTTCGGGTTAACCGGCACGATTAGGTACTTTGTCGAAGCCGGTATGGATGTCAACGCCAGGGACAAGGAGGGCAAAACGCCCTTGGACCTGGCGAAAAGAGCTCTGCGGGAAGGACATTGGCACCGACCCTCCGATATCAATGACGACAATGCAGTCGAGACCATGAGGTTACTAGTGGTACTTGGAGAAGATCCCGCAGCCGCAAACTGGTTCGTGGCCGACAATACTGGCGGACGAAGAAGCTATCATTACAGCTATGGTGATCTCGATGATGGAGTAAACAATCAAGGGATTGAAACTTTCGAGTCCAGGTCGGTCTAGATCTTTTCTTATCAGGCTATAACCTCACAAGTATTAGGTCCCGCACCGAACACGATACCAATGCAATCTGCCCGTCCTCTGTTGTATCGCCGAATCCAGCATTTCCACCACTGGTGAGTCACGGAGTGGACATCAATTCTAAGCCACAGCCTCCAAATAGTCCATGGTCAACTGCCGGTATCCAGCTCCTCAAGAAAAAGTTATCAACAAGAGGTGAAAAGGGTAACACATTAATGTCTAGGCTAGCGTACTCGGAGCCTTTTCCGCAATTATCCAACTATAGCTTCACTGAAACGCACGATCAAGCTATAAATGCGTGGACGAGATTCAGAGAGGGTAAAGGAGAACCTATGGGTACCGACACCTGTATGGCAGTTTCAGGGCTTAAATCCGTGAAACCGCGGGGTAAAAAGAAATGGCTACCAATGGCGCTGGACGATCCTTAAATAGCTCCTTCTGGATATGTAGATTACCCCACTGACTGTGGCTGCGATGAGGACGCCGTTCCGTGGGGACGGCCATTTCGACGCAGGTCCCCTTCCACCACCGTCCCTACTAATTACTACTATGGGCAAGGGATTGATGGATGGATGGATGTCCGGAGTTGCTTTTTGCAGTTTGCTCAATAGCAAGACGATTTTCGTCCAGCAATAGACCTCTGTCAGCAATCGCCCTTTCCGCGGCATTCAAAGCGTTCTGGATCCTGTGGTTATCCAACTGGCTCAGACCTTGGGACTCACCTTCAATGAAGTACCGCAAAGCAGTGAATCCATCCGATGTCACTAGTGTGTAGCAAATTGTTAGGCCAGGGAAGTCAATTGGGGTGTCAGTGGCCGTCGGTCCAACAATGTTGCTAAGAACTCTATCTAGATTGAAAGGAAAGAGCCTAACCTTTGTCCCAAGCGGAAGCAATAGTTAACTCCGTGAAAGGCGGCGTTTCGCACTAGACTGTACAGCAGTGTGAAATTCTGCTTGCCAACGGTTCCTGATCCCCCACGATATAAAGTTACTCGACCTGTTCGCTACTGTTACTTAGATCTCCATTCATTCTACCAACAAGGCTGCTAGATTTCAGGGGTGCGCGAAGCATGACCCCGCAGTGCGGCGTCCCCTTATGGTCGTTTTTCCTTTTCCGACAACTTTTCAGTAGCCCTATATCAAATGCTGGAAAAGCTTAGTAAGCGTATCAATCCTTGGCCATTAAAGCCTAGCTTGGCAGAGCTTGGCGGATCTAACTGCACTTTCCTTGGTAAAAGAAATTGAGAACTACTTTAAACACCATGGCTCAAGCTCATACGCTGTTCAGCTCGATTGATGCATGGCGAAGAGGTACGCATAAGGAGCTTTGTTCACACAGGGACTGTTCGGAGAACGGAGATTTTGGAGACTATTGTTTTGCGCGTACGTATTGACTGGGCTCCCTGCTCGTCCACTTTTGACCCGCTCAAGATTCCTGCCATCTATGCCACAATAGCGAACCTGTCATTCAGCTGCAGAACGACTTTCGCTTTTGTGGTGCTTGTTGGTCGGATGTTCGGGATTTCTGCACCCTTTCTATACCAGCATATCCGGTCGTCTTTGTTGCCAAACCGTCTTACGATGAATCAGAAAAAGGCGAAGAAACTCGAGAGCAAAAGACCGATTGAGAATTCAACAGATTGATGATAGGCTTCGGCCTTCTGTGGCTGGAAGTGGTGATTGTTGCGGGTGCCTTTACCGTATGACTACCCATAACGATACTCGGGTTCGTCCTCGACTGTTCCATGATCTGCCTTGAAGTCTCTGACAGGGGTCTTGCAAAGGCGTGAACGGCGGTACCGACCATGAATGAAGACAGTGGGAGAATCGATAATTGGTCATCTGACAAGCAAGTGGTCACTCTATACATCCAATAATTTTTGGGTTGTAAAGTTGGCACTATTGACCTCTGTAGGAGGTCTTTGGCAGGCTTCTGTACACTTCCAGAAACATAGGTCTCAGCACATCAAGTCTTGGTATTTATCAACAGTGTGGGTCTTGAGGATACTGTAGCACAAAGCATTTCAAACGTGCAAGGTTCTTCAGTAAGCCAACAACAGTATTGGCAGGCGTGCCAGCGGTGATGGCAGTCAAAGTACCATGGACATATTTCACCAGGCGGGGTGTTCCACCACGCCAGGATGTTCGTTTAAAGGAGGTCATAAGACCTTCCCAAAAGAGCCATGCCAAATTGAGAAACCGAACCTATGAGGAATAGTTACAACTTTCTCAATAGGGCTGGGAAGGAGCACAGGACGAACTCTGTTGGATCACTTGCTGGCCAGAGTTTCAAGCTGCTCTGCAGCGATCACGTGGACCATTCCAAACTTATAGCGGGACTGTCATCGGAAAACTGAGGTTGAGTAGGCGGACGACGAGCTCCCGCCTCCACGTGGTGTCCGCTGGGAACTCTCAGAGAAACAGTCGCGCTGTCTCCGAGTGCCGAGAGGAGCTCGACAACGCGGTGATCCTCTCACGAA